TTTTTTTGCAGTTTTTGGCCACAGCTGGGTTTGAACCCACCACCTCTGGTATATGGAGCTGGCGCCCTACTCCCTGAGCCACAGGCACCACTCCCCTTGATCTTTGAAGTTGATTTCTTTCTGTAAAATTTTATAAAAGAAACCAAGGTCATATCAATGTCAGAAGTTGAGGTAATATGTCTGTCTTGTTTTACAATCACACAGTGGAACAGGTAGATATAGGAGAGGCCATAGGTTTAAAGGTGCTGCACTAGGGACAGAGTCAACTGGGAAAGCCAAGCGTCCCGCTGGCCCTGAGCACTGAAAACAAGGCTCACTAATCCCAGCCCTGAGGCATACTTAGCAGTGACAAGACGAGATAGAAGTGCAGTAAACAGAATGCTTATAGAAATGCAGTAAACAGAATGCTTACAGAATGTTAGGGCCCAATCACGCAGTTAAAGAAAACCTCGTTTTTTAATCTTGACTCTCTCTTTGAAGCTTGCCGCTGTGCTATATTTTCTCACGCCTAACATTTCTTTTCTTTCTTTTTTTTTTTTCTTTTGACAGAGTCTCACTTGGTCACCCCGGGTACAGTGCCGGAGTGTCACGGCTCACAGCAACCTCAAACTCTTTGGGCTCAAATGATCTTCTTGCCTCAGCCACCCAAGTAGTTGGGACTATAGGTGCCCACCACGACACCTGAATATTTTTGGAGATGGGGTCTCACTCTGGCTCAGGCTGCTCTTTAACTCTTGAGCTGAGGCAATCCACCCTCCTTGGCCTCCCAGAGTGCTAGGATTACAAGTAGATTTCAATAAAGGCCTGTGAGGATTGTTGGGAGGGGCCACACTCTTGTCTCTCTGTGAGGAAAGAAAGATGGTGTTGATCTCCCGGGGTCCTTCAGTTCAGTGTAAAATGGACTGAGTAGGTGTTAACATTTTTGGGGAGTCACACAGATAAGTAGAGACGACAACTTCCTGCTGACACTTCTGCTCTTGGGCAGAGTGCTCACCCACAGCCCACATTTGATCTAGTCTGTTTTTTTTTTAACTTGGAATGTTGGAAAACAAATTATAATTGGACATGTTATTTTGGAACCAAGGGAGGAAAGAATGCCAGTAACCTCAGGAAGCACTCTAGATTGCCCCTACTGAATGGCACTGACATGGTGTAATACTGGTGTTTACCTCCACCTTCAAACACCTACTGAAAGCTCGAAAGAGTTATGCTAAATTGGCTGAGCGTGGTGGCTCACACCTATAATCCTAGCACTCTGGGAGACCAAGGTAGTTGCATTGCCTGAGCTCAGGAGATCACTTGAGCAAGAGTGAGACCCCATCTCTAAAAAACTGGCCAGGTATCATGGTGGGCATAGTAGTCTCAGCAGCTACTAAGGAGGCTGAGGCAAGAGGATTGCTCAAGCCCAAGAGTTTGAGGCTCACTCTACCCAGGGTGACAGAGTGAGACTCCATCTTAAAAAAAAATACCTGTCCTAAGTGTTGAAGGAACATCATGTCAAGGAGAAATGTTTGGATTCATCAGGAGCTTACAAGATGGTAGAGAGCAGAGAAAACACGAATAATAGTAGGAAAGGCAGAGTATGTGGGGCGCTAAAGCAAAAGTAGAAAGAAAAAGCTGAGGATCTGGGGAGAGAAGATCAGAAAAGGTTTGAGAAAGACATAGGCCTTGAAGATAAAACATCTGACAACAAATACACAATTAGCTTCACATACAAAAACTTCACTTCCAGTCTATTGCTGTGGGATATTTTGACTTATAGTGTTGGCAAAGATAAGAGGAATTTTTTTTTTTTTTTTTT